TGGAAAAGAATGTAAAGAACTGCAATGAGAGAAAAAAAAAAAAAAGCTCCCCCAAAATGGACTTGTAAAACTGTTAAATCAACAGAATGGGAATTAATTGCATGAGATTGAACTCATGAAAAATTATCATTTTTATTACTTTTGTTTGAAATATTACTGATTTTTTCCCATGCTTTGTTTTACAGATTTAAAGATTTCTTTTTTTTTCTTTTAAGCTAACTGTAGCAATTTGTAAAGGGTGCTTTTGAAAACGGAATTGAAACATTTACTTTCTCTCTTCTTGATCCCTCCATGCTAAGTATTTGTGAGTATTCCTATGTTATCACATTATGGTTATTTGCATAAGTTCAATAAAAAGCAGGAACTAAAATCACGGGTTATGTTGCCAAGGCTTTGACTAGAATGTTCTATCTTCAATTATGACAAGATGACTAAGGAACAAAAGTTTACTTTATGAAAGTCAATAGAAGTTCCTGAAAACTTGGAATACAATAGTCTTGCCTTGTAAGTAAATGAGTAAAGAATACCTCTTGCTGACCAGCCCGGAAACTTCACCTTTTGGCAACTGAATTAATCCAAGTCCAGCTACTTAAAGACACAGTCAGATGGTAAGTTCTGACTTGGACTTCTAGCCCTGAGAAGCTTTTTAGAAGCTTTTTAAAAAATATAACCTGAAAATCAAAAAAAAAAAAACCAATAGGACCAGCAGTTGGCATCATGGCTATGTTGCCGAACTCCCATGTAGTCGACTGTGGTTTGAGTCCTGGATCCAGTGGCTTAAAACATGCTGGGCACGTGTATGTGTGTGTCCAAGATCCTGAGAGAAGAATGGAGGAGAAGGGACTGTGGCATGGCCATCCCCCCCGGCGGGTGATTTTTCGCTTTCTGTCTCTCTGTCACTCTCTGCCTTTCTGGTGAGTGCACGTGCCCTATAGCAAAAACCTCTCCAAAATAATCAACTTAATCAATCAGTATTCTTGTTGTATTTTATGCAAGTAATCAGGCCAAATTGAGACTAAACTTACATTGCAAATATATTACTTTTATGATGCTTATCTTTGGTAAAAGAGAGGGATTTGGAAGGAGAAAAAAATATGTATTAGAAGAAAACTATAGTGCATCTGTTATATTCTAAATAACTGTTGTAAGATTTTATTATTTAAACTGGATCCTGGGGTGGCACCATGGTTAAGGAGCTGGATTCCCACATTGGTGACTGTGGTTTGAGTTCTGGCCAACTTGAAACTCACTCTGGGCACATGTGCGTGCATACCCAAGGTCCAGAGAAGAGAATGGAGGAGAAGGGATTGCGGTGTGTGCATCTCCCTGGGGAGTACTTTTTTGTTCTCTTTCTGTCTCTCCAGAGAGCACACGTGTCTTATAGCAAAAAAGTCTCTTCAAACAAACAAACAAACAAACAAACAAACAAAAACCTGGATCCTGAATTTGTAGTTTCATTCAATATCTGGAATTTCCAGACAAATATTTCCCCATTTTTCCTCCTATTTTTCAGACTTACTCTTGCTAAAATTGAAACTACTTTGTCCTGAGTGCCTACTAACAGGGACTGGTCAACTTGACTTTGAAGAAGAACCACTTCAACAGTTTATATTAAGACGATCTTGTGACTATCAACCAAGAAAATCGGTCAGATTGTCTTGGCCTGCTATTTACACTTTAACTAAAGGTGCTTTGAAACTGACATCTAAAACCTACTCACACTTCTCCTCTGCAGACTCCAAATAAACCAGTATATAAATTGCTCCAGATATTAACTTTTGTTTTTCTTTTGTTTCCTTAGAAGTGCCTCTTTCAGGGACCAGCAGTTAGCGTAATGGCTATGTCGCTGGACTCCCACGTAGTCGACTGGGGTTCATGTCCCGGACCCGGTGGCTTAAAAAACTCACGCCGGGTGCGTGTGCGTGTGTGCCCAAGATCCTGAGAGGAGAGTGGAGGAGAAGGGATTGCGGCATGGCCATCCCCCCTGGGGGGTGATTTCTGTCTCTCTGTCTCTCTCTGTCTGTCTGGCGAGCGCACGTGCCCTACAGCGAAAACTTCTCCAAAAAAAAAAAAAGAAAAAAGAAGTGCCTCTTTCAGAGACCTGACTTCGAGATTTTTACCTGCAGCATCTGAAGTGACCTATTCTCAAGACTAAGAAACTGATATGGGACAAAATATTTAAAATTTGTTCCTTTCACATTTGTGTTTTTCTCCTTTTTAGGTAATTTTTTAGTTACCAATCCTACTTTAATATTTGAAACTTTCTAAAAGTTCTAAGAGGGAGACTGTGGAGAACCAAAATAAGACAGCCTAAAATATACTTCTTTGGCATAGTTCTGAGATAACTATCCAGAGGGTCTGAAGCCACAAGGATTAACTTGCTAATCTTTCCTAGAAGAAAGTTACATCTATTTAAAGTGAAGTAAAGCAAGCTTGAGATGCATCTTTCTTGGAACAGGATGATTAGAGGTCTGACACCTAGCCAAGAAAGACAAGACTATGCATTTTCTCCCTGTCCCCCTTTCTTAGCTGAACTCCGAAATTTTCCTACTCCATGGGGTATAAAACCTACAGTAATCTGGCCTTTACTGGGATTAACACTTTGTATGATTTCCATGTGCACATGTACAAATTAAAATGAATATGTATGCCTTTTTAGTTTTATTAATCTGGCTATTGTTAGTAATTTTCAGTGACCTCAGAGGGTGAATTCCTTCACCTCCATACCATAAACATTGTGAAAGTGTTCCCCTTACCCTACATCCTAACCAGCATGTTACTTTTTGTCTTTTTGATAATAGCCATTCTAACTGCAATCAAATGATATCTCATTGTGGTTTTGATTTCTATTTCCCTAATGATTAGTGATGTTGAGTACTTTTTCATATGCTCGTTAGGTGTTTGTATGTTTTCTTTGAAGAAATGCCTATTCAGGTCATTTGACCATTTTTAAATTGGCTTATTTCTATTTTTGTTGTTGAGTTAATTTGTATAATTTTGTCATTAATCTCTTGTCAAGTGTTTGGTTTGCAAATGTATTTCTCCATTTTGTCTCTTTGCTTTGTTGATTGTTTTTGCTATACAGACACTTTTTAGTTTGATATAACTTGTCTATTTTTGCTTTTGTTGTCTGTGCTTTTGAAGTTTTATTTAAAAACTTGTTGTCCACAGCAACGTCCTGAAGTGGTTCCAAATGCAACTTACAAATTTATACAATACCTATTAAAATACTAATCACATTATTCATAGAAAGGAAAATAATAATAAAATTTACATAAAATTACAGAAGACTCCAAAGAGCCAAAGAAATCCTGAGCAAAAATGATGGAACTGGAGTATTAACAATGATGGATTTTGAATTCAGTGTAAAGCTATAATAACACAAACAGCATGGTACTTAGTAAACAAAACAAAAACAAACAAACAAACAAAAAACAGATCCATAGACCAGTGAAGACCAGAAAACCTAGAAACAAATCTATGTTTATACAGCAAGCTGATTTTTTTGGACAGTTACTGAAAAGATCAAAAGGGGAAAAAGTCTCTTCTGGACAGTTACTGAGAAGATCCAAAGGGGAAAAAGTCTCTTCAGTAAATGGAGCTGGGAAAAGTGGATATCCATTTGCAGTAGAATGGAAATAGATCCTTATCTTACCATATACTAAAATTACTCAAAATGGATTAAAGATTGAAATATAAAACATGAAACTTCTTGAAAAAACATAAGACATAGTTTCATTAGATCAAGCACTTATAAAAGTTGGCCCAGCCATTTTGGTAAAACTGGGGTATATCTGAGCAGATTTTGACTTTTCTATTGTATCTTATTTGAAAAATGATTGGGAATAAGCACCTAAATTATATTTAAAATTCAAATTTAAAGGGGGTATCTCTGTGATGCATTTCTGAACTACCTTAAATAAGCAATGCCATGCAATTGTCCACACCTATATAACATTACATATGCAAATCTCTTACAGCAGTATATGTACTTTGATCATTTTATGGGATATTTCCCTCACCTGATATGGGAATCTCTTGGGAGTGCAGACTATTGTAATGTCCCACATTACCTCTAGTAGCTAAGGCAGTAAGGGACTCAGTTACTGTTGGATGGATTATTATTATTATTATTATGGTAGGGCTTTTGTGCTTGCCAGAGAGAGAAATCACCCCCGAGGGGGTATGGCCACACCACAATACCTTCTCCTCCAGTCTCCTCTCTAGATTTTAGGCACACACAAGCACCCAGCATGAGTTTTAAGTCACTGGTCTGAGACTTGAACTATGGGTGACAACATGGGAGTCCAGCCACGTAACCATTATGACATCTGCTGGTCCCTGGATGGATTACTTTTTAAAATCAGCAAACTGTGTAGCATGTTTCAATTCATTTCATTTTGGGAACAACTTAAATCCAAAATTTCAAAGGAAATGTTAAGTAAGGCTTGTAATACTGAGTCCAGAAAGTTAGCCGCCTATTTAGATAACATTGCAAATGAGCACTGTTTCCACCAAGCCATCATGGCTGCAGTAATATAGGCAGAACATCAATCTAGTCAACCCTTATTACTGTAGCAAAATCACTATTATGGACCTATTTTTTAAAAGAACATTTATTTTAAGTTGACAGGGGATGGGAGAGCAAGTGAGAAAGCAAGCCACTAAGTCTAGGAAGTGAACCAAGGTTGGCCATGTGGGAGTCTTAACCACTAGCCACCTGCCGGCCTTGTATTATGGATCTATTTTTAATAGTGCCCAAGATGTGCTGGTTAGTTGTGTTTCAGTCTTTAGCTTCATGTGAAGGGAAAGTGAACATGAAACTGGACGCTTTGTGGTGACTCCCTTAGGGATTTCTTTTTAACTAAGCTGGAGGGACAATATAATGCAGGGTGAAAGCACGAGGGGTTAAGGGAGGACCCAACTGCAGAAACCGAGCTGTAGCTCTGGTGAATTAGCAAGAATGGCGAGCTTTCTAAGTGAGCGTCTCTTGAGGAGAAAAGACCAAGAGACGTTCCTGGGCACTTGACCATGAGAATGACTGCATTTAACTTGAATGCCTATGGCCTGATATTTTGAAAAAGGCAGTCCCTATAACGTAGGGAGCAGCATTGGGTTTTGTCATTTAGAATTCAAACGACCTGGGTACATCACACTGGAAACACCTCCTGCAAGCCTGGGAATAAACTTGGGCGGGTGGAAGGAGGTGAAGGAGAGTGCTTGGTAGACGGTAAGCCTTGCCAGTAGGGTTGGCTTTGATCGTCATGCTGCCTGACCTCCCCTGGGCCTATTTCACAACACAGTACCTATCTACAATGGCTGCCTAGGCAACAGAGCCCCCCCACGCGCTGGGCTCAGGGCGGGGCTAGTTCTACCCGCCTGGAGAAGGCAGAGTGCAAAGCAGTTTCCGTTACTTTGGGGGCGGAGCCTCTGCGGGGGGTAACGGTCGTCCGGGCCAGTGCGCTTGCGCACTGCTTTACACACCAGACGCGTGAAGGAGACCGAAAAGGCGGTTATTCCTTTGACCGTGTCCCGGTGCTTGCCGACATGGACAGCAGCGATTCCGACGACGACGATGGAGAAGGCAGATTTTCTATCTACCTAAGGCGTCCGATGGACAGGCCACCTCGAGAAGAGGGTTCCCATCCATCTGTGACCCACCGCTCTGAGGGAGAAACTTACGAATCCGAACAGACCAGAGACGAGGAATCGCTAGGCGCTGTCGGCGGCCAAGACACCGAAAAACCTGCGAGAAACGTGAAACCGGACGAGTCACTGTCAGGTAAGAGGGGACAGGATGGGGTGGATAAGGAGCTTCGTAATAGTGTCAGCCAAAGAGTATATAGAGAAATGACACCAGCTGATGGGGTACCTTGTGACTGCTCGTAAAATGGGAACTGACGTTCATTTATGTGACTTTTGGTGATAAGGTCAAAGTTTTCTTTATTTCCCTGGTCGCGTTTGACTGTTTTAAGTGGGAAAGA